ATTCTAAATTTAAATAGATTTTACATTTAGTGCCCTGGCTAATTGGTTTTCTGCATTCAAATACTAATTAAATTTGTTTTTATTATGAATTAAATAATTTATCTTGAAATGGGACATTCAACAAATATGTATTTAAATAGTTATGCCCATCTCTGTGATATCAGTGCCTACTCCTGGAATTAGTAGTATTTGTCTTACGTTTGGTAAAACTTGTGTAAAAGAAGTCTGAAGTGTCTGGTATGTGTACTCATTCACAACATGTTATACAGCTTCACCATGTGTCTCTTCACTTATGAGATGATCAAAAACAGTCCTTGAGCATGGGTTTGAAAAGATGCTCAATTACAAAATTTCAATAGGCAGACTTTCTAAATTTCCCAAGCATTTCTTCAAAGCTAATAAATACTGAGCAAAATGTCAGGCAAGCCAGATGTTAAGTGAGTGATATTCATTTTAAATCACAATGGCCTTTTCTCAACTCTCATTACTCATCCAATCTCTTTTCAGGTCACCAGTCTCTCTGGATCTTGTGTAAAACTTTTCTGGTCACTTGTCCTTGGCCCCTTAGGCTGGTTCCTCTTTCTCTTGCCCCTAAGGTTTCACCTACAGTCACCTCCCAGCCTTATTATTCTTTCTTTTGTACTCTCACTCCCTTACCAGCGTCATCTCTCCTACCACCTGGCTCTCACTTTCAAGTACTCCCCCCAAGTGAATGACTTCCAAATCTCTAACTTTTACAGCCCTAATCTGCATCTAATGTTAGCACTTCAAATGCAATATATATAAAAAAACAAAAACGAAACTAATCTTCCTCAATCCTCTCAATTCCCCAGCCATATGGATGCCCCCAGTTAATTATGGTCAAATCCTTAATCATCTCAGACAATTCAACTTGCTGTAAAGCAATGCAACAAGCATTTATTAACTACTCCGTGAAGGGAACTGTCCCGGGTAGTTGGAATACAAAGACAAAAAAAGATAACCACCAACTTCAAGTAGCTTACATTCTACTTGCCTCTCACACCTCAATATTTAATCACTTGCCAAGTCCTCCTGGTGTTTCAACATTTGTTCCATTGCCTTTACTTAAGAATTGGAAATCCAGGGGTACCCATCAATTGGAGAATGGTTGAACAAGTTATGGTATATGATTGTGATGGAATGCTATTACACTATAAAAAATGACAAGGGGTATGGGTTCTAAAAAACGTGGGAAGACTTATGTGAACTGATGTAAAGTGAAGAGAGCAGAACCAGGAGAACATTTTACACACTAACAGCAATACTGTAACTATGATCAACTGTGAAAGATTTAGTTACTTTGATCAATACAATGATGCAGTTCCAAAGGACTCGTAATGAAAAATGCTATCCACTCCCAGAGAGAGAGAGAACTGATAAACTAAGTGCTCATGGAAGATTTTTTTCACTTTGTTTTTCTTGCCTTTTTCCCCTTGGCAATGTGGCTAATATGGAAATAGATTTTGAATGATTTCATATGTATAATAGGTAGCATATTGCTTGCCTTCTCAATGGATGGGGCAGTACCTGAAGACAGAATTTTGAACTCAAAATATAAAAAAAGAATGTTTAAAATTATTTTAAAAAATGTTTAAACTCAAAAAAACCAAAACAAACCAAAACAAAAAACCCAAAGGGGGCAGCTAGGTGGTGCAGTGGATAGAGCACCAGCCCTGAATTCAGAAGGACCTAAGTTCAAATCCAGCCTCAGACACACAACCCTTGCAAGCCGTGTACTTAATCCCATTGCCTAGCCAAAACAAAATAAAACAAAAAAAATGTTTAAACTGTCTTTGCTTTATTTGGCCTCAAGGCTCAGGTTAAAGCAAAAATCTAGAATGAAGAATTTCTAAAAACACCCAAAAAAAAAAAAAAACCTGGTATTCAGGACATGATACAATCAAGAGGTTTATTGGTACAGCAAGCAGGTAAAAAAAAAAGCATACGCACACAGGCTACTTGGCAATATAAATAGAAGTTCCAGATGCAAGAAACTCCTGGGAAAGCATAAAGGAAATACGTGGGGAGGAAACACACTCACACTGGGGTTCAGGTGGCAAAGTTATATGCCCTCAGAATGTACTCAGTTCAGAACAGGTAACTGGGTCCAGATAGGAGGGGGCATTCCAAATCAGACCCAAATGTGGTAGAGAAGTTCTGGAGGTCACTTCATCTATACCAGGCTTGAATGAGTAGGGGAAATTTCCTTCACTTGCAGCCAGTTTCATCCAACCAAAAATCTGCAAGTCTTATCTGCCTGACACAGAATTAATAGCAGAAAACTACAAAATGTCTGTCTTCGCCTATATACTTTTATGAATATTAGGGCCACTTAGCCTAAGTTACTCTATACTAGAGTCCTATCATTATAACTATAATATCAAACAATAACCACAACATCAAATAATATAAAGTTTACAATTACTACACCTTTCTATTTCTACTGCCATCACTCTAACTGAAGGCTTCATTATTTAAGGACATATTAGCTTCCTAATTTGATCTCTCCACATCATCTTTTCCCCCTCCAATACAATCTTAACACTACTGCCAAAATAAATCTTGCTAATATGCAGCTTTGATCATGTTATTACCCTGTTCCAAGACTTGCCCATTACCTACAGGATACAATATTATTATCTTATTCTGGTATTCAAAGTCATTCACAATATGGTTCCAATTTACTTTTCTTTTCAACTTTTTTTATACTATTCCCTTTCAGCCAAACTAGAAAGACAGCTCTTCTTGGGTCTTATGACAGCCAAAAAAGCTTTAAAAAACTTTAAGCAGCATTAAAAGAAGCAAAGCAAACCTAGGAATACACTATACCCTACTTCTCATACCACATCTGGAATAGATTACTGTGTTCATTTCCGGACACTACATTTTAGTCAGGACACTGATAAATTGGACAAAGTTTGTGGGAGAGGAATCATGATGGTAAATGGCCTCAAGGCCATTGCATATGAGGACAGTGCAGAAATTGAGGACGTTTAGCCCAGAGAAAAAAAGACTTAGTATATAACTATCTTCCAAGTATTTGAAGGCTTATCACGTGGAAGGAGGATGGTCCCCAGAAAACAGAATGAGAAGTAATGCAAGACTAATCCAGTAATTTCAGACAAATTTAGACTTCACAAAAGTTTTTCTTCTCAGAGATATACAAATAATATGGAGTGCTCAGGAAGCAGAAGATTCCTACTCAGTTAATATACATTTATTAAGCGCCTACTATATGCCAAGCACTGTGCTAAGCAATAAAAACAAGGGTGGGGAACCTGTGGCCTTAAGGCCACACATGGCCCTCTAGGTCCTCAAATGCAGCCCTTTGACCAATTCCAAACTTCACAGAACAAAACCCTTAATAAAAGGATTTGTTCTGTAAAACTTGGACTCAGTTAAAAGGGGTTCCCTTTTTTTCCCCAATTATGGTTAGGGTAACTGAAAAAAAATTAATTTTAAAAAAGATACACAGTTGTCCAGTATGTTATCTTTTTTAAGGAAGGTTTGGACTAGATGGCTTCCTTTCTTAAATAACAGAAATATTTAGTCACTTCAAAGAGAATTAGAAGGAGCTAGACATAGTGAACAGCCAATTAGTTCAGTTTTGGATGTAATGAACCTAAGATAACAAAAAGACTTCGAGGTGAAGAAGTCCTTTGGGAACCTGGCAATGTAGGAGTAGAAAGATTAAGGCTGTATATACAGATTTAGTAATCACTTGCAATAGAGATGATAATTCAATCTAGAAGCTGAACACAAAATAGAAAAAGAGGACTCAAGCCAATCTTAAGAGACACCTGTCGCAGGTTCAGGAGATGAATTCGAAGTAGACTTTTGAGAAACTGTAAGATGAGAGAACAATGTCACAGAAACCAAGGAACGAAAAGGGAGTCCAGGAGAGGGAATGGTCAATTGTCAAAGGAGAAACTGGATGAACGTTGAGAAAAGGCTATCAGATATAATATTTAATGCCAGGGCATAATAGGACAATCACCATTTTATTGCAGGGGTTCTAATGGGAGAGACAACATGCAAAAACGGTAAACATAGGACAGATGCAGTGTAAATGAAAGTAATCTCAGAAAGAAAGTAAAGAAAGAAAGGGTGGGGGTGTCGATAAAGTCTTCTCCAGGTGGGATTTGAGCTGAGTGTTTAAGAGCCAGGGCAAAGCAGGCATATGTCATATACTTAAAATATAGGTTATTGTTCTTCCTCTCTCCCCCCATCCTCCATGCATAAAGGGGCGTAGGTAAGGACAGCAAGGTGGATAGAGCACAGGGCCTGGAGTCAGGAGTCTGAGTTCAAATCCGACCTCAGACACTTCCTGTGCTTCACTTCAGCAGACACTTCACTCCTATTTGCTTCAGTTCCTCATCTGTAAACTGGGTACACACTGGAGAAAAAAATGGCAGATCACTACCGTATCTCTGCCAAGAAAACCCCACGGACTGTCCATGAGGATCATGTAAAGTTGGACACTGCAGAACCACAACAGAAACAAAGAGTTGCTTTTCACTTCAATAGTAACGGGTTAGCTTCACTCGTCCACGGGGTACAAGTGTGGAGTGAGGGGACAAAAAGGCTCAGGATGCGCAATCGACCCTCTCTCCAACCCTGCCCCGCCCCCATCGGATTAACGGAGGCACAAAGTACCATCTTTAGGTTCAGCCAGAAACTCAAATAGAAAGGACAGAGAATAAAGGAAAGAAAAGAGAAGTCGGTCAATAAGCGAACAAAATAGTTCACAGCCCAAAACGCTAGGGAAGCTGGGGAACGAAAAGGTGTATGGGGGGGGGAAGAGTGTCCCTCACATACGCATGCGCACACGCGCAGCGAAGGGCTCAGCTACAAGCGACGCCCTCATTCCCCGGGGCTCACGAGCCCCTGAACCAGCGGCTCCCACCTCGCTCGGCCGACCTCGGCCTGGCCGCAAACCTCTCCCTGCCCTGGAAGGTGTCGTTGAGAATGCTCCTTACTTGTCATCACCGGGGCCCACGAGGCGCTAGAATAGGGACCCAAAATGAACAGCCGAGCGATCACAGCCCCATTCGCGGCCATGGCGAGGTTACGAAGGCCACCTTCCAGCCTCCGCCAGTTACTCTTCAGGCCCGCAGCCACTAGGCCGCTCCCCCTCCGCCCAGGAGGCGCCGCACGCAGCGCGTGGGTGGAGCCGGAAAAGGCGTTCCCGAGCCGCCCGACAGCACCTGTGGTCACTCCCCTATGGTGCATGGCCACGCCCCCGTTCTACTGCAGTCAGCTCAAGTTAAATACATTTAAAAAGCAATTACTACGAGCTGTATCTGTGATTTTGGATGTCAGACTTATCAAAAAAGAAAGCTTAATTCAGATTTCCCCATGTCTATATCCGTCCTCCTTATTCTGAATAGATTGCTTGTAGTTGTGCAAAAGCTTTTAATTTTTGCATAATGAAATTTTTTTTTTGTAAGTCAGGGCTAGTAAGACCTTTCCCGCCATCTCCACATTTATGAAAAAACATAATATTCCACTCTTGAATTTCACTAAGGATGTGATTTAAACATATTTAGAGCTTTAATTTATTATGATACAAGATACTGGTGTATTCCAATTTTTTTTAAGCCAAACTGCTATCCAGTTTTCTGAGCAGTTTATTTAGAATAATGCATTTCCTCCATAGTGTTTTCTGCTCTTTGGTTTATTGAACACTAGGCCACCCCATGCATTTGGTTCTAAACTTGTTTATCTCATCTGTTACAATGATCTATTTTTCTTTTTATCCAGTACCACATAGGTTTTTTTTATTAATTTATTTTTAATTTTTAACAATCACCTCTGTAAGCTTTTGAGTTTTAAATTTTTCTCACCCTCCCCACCTCCCTCCCCAAGAGGGCCCTGCAATCTGATATAGGCTCTATAGGCTGTATGTATACATTTCTATTTAACATATTTCCACATTAGTCATGTTGTAAGGAAGAATACCACATAGTTTTGATAGTTACCACTTTAACAAATATTTTGAGATCTGACATCTCGGTTCTTCATTTTCTTCATTATTTCCCCCTTTATTCTTCACTTTTGTTCTTCTACATGAATTTTGTTACTTCATTAAATTCTATGAAGTGTCCCATTAGTATTTTGATGAGTATAGCATTAAACCTATAGATTAATTTGGGATGTATCTTAATAAAATTGTAATAAGCTATGTACAGTAAATGGCTGTCCATTTAGTAATATTTTTTCATATACATTTTTATAGGTATATTTATTCTAGTCCTATTTGCCTTATGTGAGAGGTAAGAAACAATTATATTTTCAAATAAGGAAATTGAAAGAAAAGGTAGCTCTGGGTCAGAGGTTCTAGAATCAGCTAAAAGTGGATAAAACTGGTTGTTTGGTTAAAAAGGCTGGAAGTATAACAAAGGATAAGCTTTACTTAGAGTGTGCATATGAAATGGGCTCAGTAATACTAGCTTCTCTACCTCCAAGCGGGGTTAAGATGCCATTTTTTTTTAACACACATCATATGATGGAGAGAAGAGGAACATACCAAGGGAAACACGTCTTAGGCGGGAAGTCTGTGACCCATGCTGACTTCTACCAATGAAAGTCAGCTAGGAGGGACTTGTGGTCAGGCATGGGGATATAAGGTTTGCTCTCTCTCCTGGTGTGTGTGTGTGTGTCCCTCAGAAACTTATTTCCCAATTTTTAATCATTTTGTTTTCATTTTAAATAGTATTTCTCTATCAACTCTTTTTTTGTTGTTGTTTTTTTCCCCTTAATCATATCAAAGAATATCTATGGTTTTATAGAATCACGGAATTTCAGAGGTGGAAGAGAACTCAGTGCACATCCAGTCCAAACCCTACCTACAAAAGAATCTCTTCTGTCCTATATCAACAAATGGCCATCTTGTTTTTGCTTGAAGTCTTTTATCATCCATCACTTCTTAGGATAGCCAATTTCACTTTTGGAATGTTCTAATTGTTAGAAAGTTTTTCCTTGCATCAAAATGTTTTACCACTTTGAAACTTTCACACACTGTCCTTAGTTCTGCCCTCTGGGGCCAAACAGAGCAAGTCTGAGGCAGTGAAAAAGCATTGAATTTGAAATCAAGAGGACTGGTTTAAGTCCCATTTCTGTCACTGATCACTGGAACTCCCAGTGTCTCTGGGCCTTACTTTGTAAATCATACTGTCAAGGTGATCACAGATACCTTGCAGTAGTTATCCCTTTCACATTTGGACTTTCCCCATCCAGTTTCTATGTATTGTGGGTTGGCAGAAGCAATTAAATGGGAATTTTAGGGAAGTTTTGCAGAAGCTTCAGATGACACACAAAAGCCAGCAGATGACAACAGAAAAAAGTTCCTTTTCAAACAGTACTTTTATTTAACATTGACCTACATATAGTCTACGACCAAATACTTAACCCAAATTACAACAAGATACTGTAAACACCCCATAAAAGAAAAAAGAAAAAATTCAGACTTCTTGTCTTGTACAAAGGGAGAACCACAAAATTTAAGTGGTTTTCTAGATTGTGGGGCGCTGTACTCCAACTCCTGCAACATGGAAGGGATAACTGTAGTTGAGTGTTCTCTTTGATTTATTTTGTACTTAACAATACTTATTCACAATGTTAGAGGATGGTTTTTGCTCATTCTTTTATATGTAAATCATTGTAATGAGGCAATTTTCTTATGAGGATTACTTTATTTTAGTTTGGTATAGCTATAGCTGTTTTTAAGGGAATGATTACAAGACTACTCTGGGGCTCCATCTAAAGATAAGTCTATGCTTATACATATATATATATATATATAATTTCCCCCCACCACTGGAGTCTTTTATTCAGTGTATCTGACTTACATACCTTTCTGCATATCACTTAATGCTGTCATTAAAACACAGATCTGATCAGCTTCCTATTGCCTCTGCTCAGGGATTCCTATTCTTTTTGGTGTCATGGAAACCTTTGGCAATCTGGTGAAGCCGATATACTGGTGGGGTATGGGCCCAAGATGAGACCTGTGCCCTTTGCCCCAAAAAAGAATTTGGGTCCCATTTGTTTACAAGCCCCAGAAAACCCTTAAACTCTCTTTGACCTCACTTTGGTCTCAAAGGGTACCTGAGGCTATACTCTACTCAATGGCCTTTCCTCATCAACCCTCTCTCCCTTTGAAAACCTAATGAAGCTTAATCTTTGATCCTAATCCCACTTTTGATCTTATCCAGACCCAATTCCAAGCTCTACCTTCCAGTACTCTTCATTATCTATTCCCATTGTCTATTCAACCTCCCAGGCATTCCCATCGGAATTCTCTCTAAACTCACCCTAGCTTCAGGATCTTTCTCCCAGCCCCTCCTCCAAACACCAAAAATTATTTGAGTGTATATAAGATCCACCCTGGCCCCCATTTAAACACTGAGATTTCCTCATGCCTGCTCATCTTTACAGGCATCACTAATGTTCAGATTCCTTAAAAGTCTGGCCTGTATGGCCCATCCCTAATAAAACTCTGTCTCAAAGAAGGTTTGGGTGGAATTCTATTGGACAGGACCTGCCTGTCATGATCTCGGGATCCCAGCACCCCTAAACATCTAGACCTTATCAGTACCACTCCTCTGGGTATTTTTAAATACACAAAATAAAATAATAGGATTACAGAGGAAACAAAGTATATTGAAGAGCACTTATCAGTAGAATGAAAAAACAAGCTCATAGAGCTCAGGTTAAGAACCTCTAATCCAGGATAAAATTCAAACTCCTTCATTGGGCATTTAAAGCCCTTCATAAACTGGCTCCAAAATATCCTAGACTGATTACACATTACTCTCTATCAGGTGCTCTGTCTTCTAACCCAAGTATTCTGCTTCTTGTCCTCCTATACAACATCCCATCTTCCATCTCCTCACTGAGTGGAATGCTCTCACTCTTCACCTTTGCCTTTTGGCACTCAACTTGTAAAGCTCACTTCAAGTGCCATTTCCCACAAGAGGACTTCCCCAGTCCATCCCATTGTTAGTGAATTGTTATGTTGCCTGCATGGAAAGTTTTAAAGTCAGAAAAATCTTCCTTGATTGACCTTTTCAGGAAGATCAAATCATAGGACTGGCTTTATGGGATCCCAGTTTGACCCATGCCTGGAACTGAGAGGGTGTGTCTGTGTGAGGGTGGGTGAGGGTGTGACCAATAGAAAAAAGTACCTCAGGAATTCAAGCTATTCATAAATTATCTGTCTACAAAGGGGAGTTTAAAAAAAAGTCCTTATTCCAGAAGACAATTAACTTTGCAAAGTTTAAGATGAAACACATAGAAAAATGGTTTATAGCCAGAAATAGAATAGCATTGGCTAAGTTCAGGGGGAACCTACGCAAAGACAAAAGAAGCAAGGACCAGAATGCTGAGCTCTGGGAAATGCAAGAAGACCAGATTGGCCAAATGTGGAGTAAGTGAAGGGGAGTAATGATCATCAATGAGGTGTTAATGAGGCATCAAGTATATAGGACAAAGTAAGGAATTCACACCTTATCAGGGAGTTAACCTTGTCAAAAGAATTTCACAGATTAAGGAAACACTGGAAGTGACAGAATTTAAGTTATCATCTTATATATGGGGGTATCATCAGAGAAATAGGGATTCTTGCAGTTGAGGATAATTTGGTTGAGTTGGGGTGGGGGGTTGCACTGATATAAAGGAACTTCAGGAAAGTATATCCCTAGTGAGTCCAGCTCATGATACCCCTCCCCACAAACATGCACATTCATTTTCCAGAAGGGATATGTATGTGTGGGAGGGGCATGGCTTGGGAAATATTGTACTTTGTGGAACAAGAGTCCTGTAGAACACTTCTAGTCTAATCCTTCATTTTCTAGTTGAGGAAATTGAGGCCCATTGAAGTGAGATGTCTTCATTGAGGTCACACAGGTAGAAAAAATCAGAGCTCAGAGAGAACCTTGAGAAAGGCCTTTTCTTGCCAAAATTAAGGGAAATGGGGTATATATTTGTGCATATATATGTATATATGTGTATATATATGTGTGTGTGTGTGTATATATATATATATATATATATATATATATATATATATATATATATATATATATATATATATGTATGTATGTATATATGAAGCAGAGATTTGGAAGGTTGACCTCCCTCACTTGTAGCCTATGTAACAAAATCACCCCTTTCTCTACTTGCCATTTTCCTTATTCATTCTCATTTCAGGGTCCAAGGCAATCAAGGAG